AAATCAGTGGTTAAGTTGTATTTACAACACTGTTCCAGAACAGTTTAACCCAAATATCCAGATGTGTGCAGCGCATTTTATGGAGGACTGTTTACTGATCCTGGGAGAGTAATGTTAAACTAAAATGCCGGCAGTTCTGACTCACGTAAGTACGTTTTCATTTAAAAGGATTTGCCACTGATGATTCAAACGTGAGTTTTGGGCAGAGTAGAGTAGCACTTCTAATTGGTCATTTCTCTGATCACAAATGCAGACAGAGTTTTATGTTTACGCGATGCAATGCAACGCGTAAATAGACAGTATAAGTCATTATAATCAGTAATTATGTCCCCACTGGATGCAACAAATGCCTCGTTTGTAATGGGTTTTAATGTTTTTGTGTCGTCGCTCCGGCTGGGACACGGCATCAACAGTATGTGAGGGGCGTAACATTTCCGTCTCACGCTTAAGGTATTCAGCCAATCACAGCACACCTTGCTTTTCAGACCGATGAGTTTTGTAAAAATCGACGCGTTTCAAAAAGGCGGGTCATAGAGGAGAAACAATAATGTACAGTATGTGGAAAATAATGTGTTTTTTTTTTACTTTAAACCGCATAGACACATTTCATTACACCAAATACACAAAATAATGTTATTTTTAGCAGCAACATATGACCCCTTTAATATTGTAGGATTCTTTTATGAATAGAACGTTTTAAAAAAACATTTATTTGAAACAGGAATCTTTTGTAATATTATAAATGTCTTTACTGTCATTTTGATCCATTAAAAAAAATAAAAATAAAATGCATAAAAAAAAAATAAAAAAAAACATTAAACCCCAGACTTTTAAATGTGTTTATGGAAATTATGGTCTATATGACTAACTATTTTGGCAGCTATAAATAGCTTTTTTGTGAGAACAGTCTCTATTAAATAAATTAGGGATGCACGATATTATCGGACTGATATCGGAATTGGCCGATAATGGCTTTAAATGTAAATATCGACATCCGCCGATATGAAAAATTATGCCGATATGTCTTGCAGATAAGAGGAATACGTTAACTCACATGTGAAGCGATTAGATCACATCAACAGTGTGGCTCATTCTTGAAGCAAAGTTTTGTCAGAATGATGATTAGATTCATTCGTTTGGTTCGCTGCATGTAATCTGTGAAAGCAAGTACAGAATGGCGTTCGGTGTGATAGAGTAAACAGTAAACAAGCACGTGCAGCGGCAGCAGTGACAGCCTCCCCCGGGTCCTAATGCCTGTTGGGTAAGGAGTTTTAATCTGTAGGGGGCGCTGTTGGCCTACTTCTAATTTAATTAAAAGTAAAATAGCCTACACAAATAACATTTAGACTGTTTTTCTGATTACATAAAGAAGTAATTGATGTCATAAAATAATGAGCATGTTTTGATTTTAAGGTTAGAAGCTATAGCTTACATGAAAAAAAAATCACAAACATGACACTTGTAAATTAAATAATTTTATGTATACTGATTTATTCATTAATGTGTAATATGTTTTATTTTTTAAACAAATCATAAGCTCTAAAAGATTTTCAGAATTTTTACAACTCTTTTGCTTTAGACCATCTACAAATGTTAAATATTAAAATAAAATGTTAGGGTTAAACACCATCTTTCTGGGGGAAAAAAATGCAGCGATTGATATATAGTTTATTTATAGTTATTTTCAAAGCTTCAATGTACTGTCAAAAAACCTTCATTATTGTTTATTTAATTCTAACAAATAAGTTAAAATATTTTGCTTATAATTTATGCACAAGAGAGACTTGGTGTTGATTCCAAACAAAAGGAAATATATTGGTAACGGTATCGGCCAAAATGACTGGAAAAATATCGACATATCGGCAAAAATCCAATATAGTGCATCCCTAAAATAAATGTTTTAAAAATCTTTATTCAGTAATAATGAATGATTGGAAAAGTTAAAAGAAAAAAAATCAGGACAATTTAAGGAAAAAATCTGAGAACACTCCCTATAAAATAATTTATTAGGAGTATTTTTAGGTTAAGTATCATTCAATTTGAAATATAAACTCATTGGAACACAATCTGTCAAAGCTACTTTTTATGGAGAACCCATCATGTATTTCATCTTGTTGGGGGCTTTGCTTGTTTGCTCTCTGTCCAAATTAACCACCCAGTTTCTATTCTCAACTTTAAGTGAGAATAGATCAGTTACATGATTTTCAGTTGACATTATAAACCCTGTGGCAGACGTTACCCAGCAGGACCCAGAATGCTGCCCCTCCCAGCTATCCTAAACCCAGCTGTTCCCACAATCATGTCGTCCTGGGAAACTCCATGCAGTGCCTCTCGTACTAACTCTGTCCTTCTTTCTCCATGCTGGCTCCTTCCTCCCCAGCCTCCCCAGCCTGAAGTGACAGACGAGGGTTTTGAGGCCGCTGAGGCGGAAGTAGATATAGACGATGAGGATGAATTCACAGACAACGAGGATGATTTTGAGCCAGAGCTGCTCTTAATGTCTTCCAATCAGACAGTTAACCAGCCCATTTTGGCCGCTGCGCAGTCTTTGCACCAGGAGGCTCGCAAGTGGTCCAGTAAGGTACTGCGTTTTCCGGCCCCGGCGGGCCACAGCATCCCTTCTGCATCCAGATATTACTGTGGGAATGCTGAAACCAGATAGCTGCTGCTGCTGTTGTCGCTTCACACTTGGGTCCGGTGTGTTTTTTTTGCTGCTGGGGTTGCCAATGACCGCGACTGGAATGGCAAGTTTGTTGTGCATTTCTTGGACAAACTGATACTGGCTTCACAAGTCACTTCCCTGCTCATTTCTGATAGTTGTCACGCCTCTGTGCCCCGATTTGAACGAGGAGCCATTCACTCAACCGCTGCTGCCAAACACTCTGCTTTTTTGCCAACCTGTGAAGCCATGGATGACAGTTTCCCAATGACTTCGGAAATTACATGTGTTGAAGTCATGTCACATGCCTGTTTGTTTGTTGCGCACTTTTTCTAACCATTTAAATGAACCATGTCAAAGCCATTGTAGGATGTTACATTTTAACACAAACGTTGCATGCCTGTGTATAAACATAACTGTCTCACTAAAGGATCATGCAGAATTCTGCTCAAGTTTAAAAAAATTTTTTTTTTATAATTATGCTAAATTTGTTAGATGGGCACCATATTGTTAACAAGCCGGAGGAAAATACATTAGATTCTATGGAGCCCCTAAAGTTATGTTTGCAGAAAAAAATGCCCTCAGAGTTTCTTGTGCACACAGGAGAACTATGGAAACTGATTTCTGTCACAGATAAAAAAATAAAAAAAAATAAAAAAGGTGTAATGTTTTATCGTATAATCTTACAAACTTTTTTCTTGCAATTATGAAGTTCAAGAGAGGTAAATATCATTTAACACTCTCAAAAGGGCAGACTCAGTGCTGTGAGCAGACTTAAAACCAGATTGAAAAACCTCATAAATACAATTACTAGTCAGAAAACGTTGAAGTTGATTCAGCACAATTTTCTCCAAAACTTTTGAAATGAAAGGTAAAACAGAAATAGGCCAACATTTTTTTTAGGACAGAAGGATCCAGTGAAGGCTTCTTGAGCAGAGGAGTGACCGTAGCAACTTTAAGGTTGGCAGGAACAGAGCCAGTTTGGAGACACTGATTAATAAGAGACACCAAATCTGGCCCAATCAAATCGATAATTAATTTTAAAAATCTCGGGGGAATGATATCGCTAGAACAGAATGAAGGTTTAAGCTTGTCAATAACTTGCTTCAATTCCTGGAGGTTGACAGGTTCAAATACATCCAAAAATGCAGAGGGAGATGACATAATTGGAGAGACAGTTAAAGTTAAAGTGGGGCAGACGCTAAGCTTTAAGTTAATAATTTTGTCACTAAAATATCTCAAGAAGCTTTCACAGAGAGCATCAGAGGCAACAGGCAAGGTGTTAACTGAAGGATTTGTAACAGATTGAATAACTGAAAACAAAACCTTAGGTTTAGAATGATTCGTTTCAATTACATTAGAAAAGTATGCAGCTTTCGCAGACTTAGCTGCAGTCTGGTAAGATGTAAGAGAGTCTCTGAACATTTGAAGAGAGATATGCAGCCTGTCCTTTTTCCATTTACGTTCTGCCTTTCTGCAGGTTTGTCTTAGGAGACGGGTATCAGAGTTTTGCCACAGTACAGATTTTGGTTTTTGCTTGTGAGGCTTAAGGGGGGCAGTTGCATTTGCTACCTTAAGCCAGGCAGAATTCCCGAGGCTAAGATGTTGATCAGCGTCCAAGTCAGATAATGGTTGATCCAAGTGCAACTGTGAGCAACATTCAGCAAAGCACAAATTGAAAACAGTGAGAATAATACAGGCTTATGGTCAGAGATCATAAAATCTGAGAGCATAATATCAGTCACATCAAGCCCATATGAGAGTACAAGATCCAACGTATGTCCCTGAATATGAGTAGAGACATTGATCCACTGGGATAGATTAAAAGCGTCAATGAGATTAAGAAAGTCATGTGATAAGGGGTTAGACGGACAGCAGACATGGATATTACAGTCGCCCACCAATAGAAAGCAATCGTAATTTGTGGCAATATTGCCAATCAGTTCAGTGAAATCCTGTATAAAATCCTTAGTAGAGTGCGGAGGACGGTAAAACACCCTTAGACATACAGGACCATTCCAGTCTAAGTGAATAAGCTTCAAAGCTGGAAAAGGCCGTTACAGGGACCAATCGACAGCTTGCAGAGAGAGAGTTCTTCAAAATTGTTACTATCCCACCCCCGCGTCCACTCGGACGAGGAGAGTTAAAAAATGTACAGTCAGCAGGGATCAGATCAGAAAAAGGAGTTAGATCACCAACATTTATCCAGGATTCCGTGATAAACATAAAATCCAAGTTGTGAGATGAGTAAAAATCATTTAATAAGAAGGTCTTATTCACCAAGGAACAATTATGAGATATAAACTCAGAATTTTGAGATATAAACTCAAAATTGCAAGGAAGAAATTCAGAATTGTAAGATAAAAAGTTGCAATTACCTTTTTTTTTTTTTAATTATGTGGTGGAAACAAAAGATATAAACTCAGAATTCAGAGAAAAAGTCAAAATCGTGAGATGTAACTTTTTTTTTTCGTGGCGGAAATGAGCTTCCATACTTTCCCACATGTGCGAGAAACTTAAATGTGCAAACAAAAAAACGTTCATGATGGGAAATTTTGTCCTACAAATGTGATTCAGCGGCTTCGTGTGGCTTCAGAAGACATGATAAACCTATACTAATTTCAATAAGGCATGACTGATGTGCACTGGATGAAAATGACATGATTCTAAACACTATTTGTTTGTCTTTGTGACATTTTAAAATGTTAGATAGAAGTTAGATACATAGAGCTCATCATCAATCACAGATTAATAACAGGCAAAAATGATCTACATGAACAGCAACCGCTCTATAGGAACAGTTTGTAGTTATTTTAGATTTCACCTGTGTTTGCCAAAAGTAATCAAACCCTCATGCTATGTCCACATGGGCTTTTTTCCTCTTAGGGTAATGACATCATTGGAGCGGCTAAGCGTATGGCCCTGCTCATGGCAGAGATGTCTCGTCTAGTGCGTGGAGGCAGTGGGAATAAACGTGCCCTCATTCAGTGCGCAAAGGACATCGCCAAGGCCTCCGATGAGGTCACACGGCTGGCTAAAGAGGTAGCCAAGCAATGCACCGACAAACGGATTCGCACAAACCTCTTGCAGGTCAGTGGCACAGTATCAATATCAGTAGTAGTAGAGAACTGATTTGCAAATCGTCTTGCTGATCAAGTACATTTCTCCTCTGTGAACTCTGGAATGTTTATTCCAGGTTTGTGAGCGTATCCCAACTATTAGCACTCAGCTGAAGATCCTGTCCACGGTAAAGGCCACTATGCTGGGACGTACAAACATCAGTGAGGAAGAATCTGAGCAGGTGAGGACACAAGGCACATCTTTAATGAAGGATTTATTGGATTGGATTGGAATTCAAATGATTGTGTTTGGTCCTTAGGCCACCGAGATGCTTGTGCACAACGCGCAGAACCTCATGCAGTCCGTGAAGGAGACGGTCAGAGAAGCAGAAGCTGCCTCTATCAAGATCCGCACAGACGCAGGGTTCACTCTTCGCTGGGTCCGAAAGACCCCCTGGTATCAGTAAACTGAGGACTAGTTGATTTCCATTAGCAATTTGCATTCTTGCCTTTTCAAACGTTGTGAGATCTGATAAGGGGTGGCAGGTGGACAGAAAGCACCCTGTCTGATTCTTAAACTTTTGAACATCAGTGTTCAGCTCAAGTTTCGGGGTGATTGGTATTACTTCTTTTTATTTACTTGCTGGTATGGGTACTTGCTACACCTCCGCTGCTCCTTACGGAGGCTATTTTTGTCCTGAAAGTTCGCTGTCGTTACCTTTATTTCACACTACTGGGGTATAGTTTAGGAGTATACAGGAAGCAAATTTTTAAATATATATTTTTGGTATGTTGGGTTTCCAAATTCCAGGTATATATATATATATATATATATATATTTTGCATGAAGAAGTTTTCTATTTTGTATTGGAGAAAAATGGCATGATGCCTCTCTCGAACAATGTTGGAGTTCATGATGAAATTCACTTTAAATTAGTTTTTGACAATTAAATTTTCTTATTGAAAATGTATATATTTCTTACATTTCATCAGAACATTATCACAGATCACTTTTTAGTCGCAAATATACAACACATACAAAGTCAGGGGCGCGGGAAGATGTTTTCAGTTTTTGGGTGTTGTGATTGGCGTTGCATTTGCAACCATGTGAAAACGGGGGTGCTGCAGCCCCCTCAGCACCCCTACTTCCCGCGTCCCTGTACAAAGTTGTAAGTTTTACTTTGCTATTCAAAAACCTTATGGCTGGTTGTTTTTGAGTTATAATTCACTATAATTAACTGTTCTTTGCTCATATTTATAATGGACTTTTGCTTAGCTATTTATTAAATATGATAATGCCTTTTTTGATGGGTTGTGCCATTACAGAGATGTATTTTGCATGGCATGGTTGATGCCAAAGATTTAGTTTTTTTTTACACTTAATATCCATTAGCTTTCAAAAAAACACATCTATCATGTAAATCTACACAGACATGCGAAAGCTTGGATAGTTAACACTGAAATTCTTTATACTTCATTCACACTTAAGTTTGTGAGAGAGTGAATGATTATTTAAATTTGTTAAAAGAAAAGCACAATCCTCACAACAGTTGAACTGTTCTCTCTTAGCTCAATCTTTTTACAGTTTACGGCTGTAATTCTGATGTTTCTCTGTGTGACTGTTTGCAATTGTAGAATATTGATGATGGAACTGTCTTAATGTTTTTACCCATTTAAATAGAATGGGTAACAAGACCCAGGTGGCTTGTTTATATGTGATACCTTTGAGTTTGGAGATGCAGTTTACCCAAAAATGAAAAGTCTATCAACACCCTCATGTTGTTCTAAAACTGAAAATGTTTTTGTCTATGCAATGAAAGTTCATGGGGTCCAAAACATGTTGTTTGGGACCCCATTGACTTTCAATGTATGGAAAAAAAACTGAGATATTTTTCAAAATATCTTCTTTTGTGTACATGTTTGGATGGACATGAGGGTCAGTAAACTGCAGATTTTTAGTTTTTGTGTGATCTACCGTTTTAAGGACAGTAAATTTACAATATAGAATCACATTGTGCAGTCACACTATGAAAAACTCAGTAGCACAAGCGTCACAATTATTAGCTGAAGATGCACTCTGAATTCTCTGTACAGCTACAAGAACACTATCATGATGCTTCACTGCCTTGCATTCACTTAAAAACTCTTATCTACAACATATACATTTTAAAGAGTACCTTTTCAGCCCCCAATATAGTGCCTCGTTGTGAAAGTTTACAGGGCTGTATTTGTATGTGTAATAGCATGTTGTGGGTTCTGATGACATTTAGAAAGGGTGGAATTACTGCTTTTGAATGTATATACGACACTAATGTTGACTTTTTCAGTGTCACATAGAAAAAACATCTTATGTGCCTCAGATTAATAAAAAAAATTATGTTAAGGTGTTTTGTTTGGAAACTTCATTCGCCAAATATGTAAATAAAGGGACAAGTTACTTTCTAATTTTGTCAAACATATTCAAGTGAAGCTATAATAAACAGGTATTAGTCAGAAGTGGATACACACAAAAAAGACCTCATTTTGTTCTAAACTTTATAAATCTGAAGGCTTTTGGTTTAAATACATATCTTAAAATGCAGTTATGCAGTTCCCTTGACATTTTACAAAATAATGCAATTGTGTGTCCTTGTGTGCAAATCCTCACAGCTTCATTAAGGTGGCAGACCTGCATATCTACCGTATAGGGTTGCAAAAAGGTGGAACATTTCCAGAAAAGTTCGGAAATATTCCAGAAATTTTGGAAACTTTCCAGCATTTTTGGAAAGTTTCTGGAAATTTACGGAAAAATTTCCACCCCTTTGAAACCCTAAGTGTATCACTGCAGGTCAGTGCAACAGAACTGATTTTATCACTTGAGCTCATAATGGCTCCATAGTGCTTGTATGTGGCAAACTACTTCAAGTGTAAATTGTCTCTCAAGCAGATACAGCTTCTATTCACCTCTGAGCAGTGATGTGCTTGTGTAGTAGATTGCATCCTTGTAAATATGTCCTGCTATAAGCATGACTGTTCTTTTAAAGTAAGGCCATTTGAGTGTGTGAGGCCTCCTCAAAATATATATATTTTTTTTCATTCAAAGGCCACTGAACTGGCAAATAAATTTAAATGAAAATATAAGGCCTGTGAATATGTGCAGAAACTCTCAAGTATTGTTTTGTGACAATATCAAAGACTAGAGCAGTATTGTGATTAATGTAATGTGTTTTTCTTGCAAAGATTTACCGTACCTTAAATCTAACATAATACAGTTTTAATACATTAATGGAATGTTGTTGATATGAAGTGAAAGATTCCCAAAGCAAATGCTCTCCAGTGGAAAGATTTTCACTTCTTGCAAATTGCCAGTAACTTCCCACAAAACAAGAAAGATAAATATTACAATAACAAATGTTAACTGCCATGTTTTAAGAAATAAGGGAGATTGTGCACAAGGTTGCAATCCTGTATGATTTGTCACTTAGAAAATGGCACCTCTAATAAACTTTTGGCATATCCTTTTGATACTCTGCAGCTGGCCTCATGTCCTGACCTGGAACTTCCCAGCTTTGCTCACATATTTCACACCCTTGAATGGCTTATATTTCTCTCCGTACACGTCTAGACGATTGACTTTCAGTCCTGTGAAGCAGAAGAGAGAGTGAAGTAAGCATAACTGTATTTATATAACACATTTTAAAACAGGCACTTTACATGAAAATAGGATTTTTGTTTTTAGGATTTTGCACCAAAACTTAAGGAATGCTATTTCTAAGTCATTGTTCAAATAAGGAAATTTGTGACACTGACCATGTGAACACCCTCTCTACAAAAGATCAGATTTCTTTCAATATCATTCTCATTGCATTCTCAATGCTCATTGGATCATATGATCATCAGATTTTAGATAAACTCGAGTAGCTTTAACACTTAATAGAAAGTTAAAAAGCATTTATTTGAAATAGAAAGGTTTTGTATCATTATAAATGACTGTCACCTTTAATCAATTGAATGTATAAAAATTAAAGTAGTCTTTTTAAAAAAAAATGACCCTAAACCTTTGATGGTATTTCAGAGATTACATACAAACAAGTGGAAGGAAATGAAAAATTTAGAAAGAGAAAAAAAAAAGTGACCAAATAGTAAATTAAATAGGGTTACAGCAGATTATTGTGCTTTTTTAAAAGCGTGTTAATAACAACAGTGCTTTATCACAAGGTCTTGCTGGCAATGAATAACAACCAAAGCTGATAAAGGACCCTAGCCCACCTGAGATGGCTAACTGCTGGATTTTCAGGTCAATGTTCAGACTTGGGTTCTCCTCTGGTTTAGGAGCTCCAGACTGCAGACTTAGGCTTCCTTTCAGATTGGGAAGCTTCTGGGGGTTAAGTTTCCCTATATCCCACACCAAAATCTACAAGACAACAGTCAGAACAATTAGCCAAAAATAGTGTTTAAAATGATCATCAGCTGTGACATTGCTAAAATAACACAACTGCAATAAATCAATGGAAATGGAATTGCATTTGACCTTCGTGACGGGGTCATAGTTGTAGGTTCCCTGAGTTGCACTGAGGTTGGCACTGAGAACCACTTTGGGCATGTGGACGGTCACTACCAAACACTCCAAAGTCTTTCCCATGGTCTGCTTAGGACCCACAGTGATGTCCAGTCTTCCTGAAGATCCAGTCTCAAAGAAACTGATGTTCTGCTTCACATATACCGGGATTGCTACAAGGCTGCAAAAACAGGTAAAAAACTTTTAATCTGCAATATCTAAATATCTTTAATACATGTTTTAGGTTTATTGCTTAACTATTTGCTTCAGATCAACACTCTGCTTACTTCTGCGCGCTGATGTGATACGACATGAGCTGAAAGTTTCCATCGGGGGGAATGAAGGAGATAACTCTTTCACTTTCCCATCTCTTATAACGGACGCACGGATGAAAACTCACGTCGTCCAGGAGCCTGGGGTTCTGTGGATGAAGAACATACAGTTGTGTTAAAAATGTTTTGTTGAAAACAGGAATTTTTAAAGCTACACATATGCCCTTGATTAATATGAGATCATAAAAGCAGCATGCACAATATTGGAGAAATGTTGTTTAAAATGTGCAAAGGCCACATCTCAAAATATATTTAACAACCAATGGATAGATTCAATTCTCCACCCTGTCGCTAGTTTGGTTTCATTACAATTTTAAATACAGTTGATGGCACAAAAAATATAATGTATCCAAAAAAAGAAAAAGAGCGAGAGATGAATATGATTAAGTGCTCTCACCATAAATGAGAGAGTAAGGTCTGGCATTCCAGAAAGCTTGACACAAGCATCAATAACTCCCTGGATTTCTGCAAAGACTGTAGTTCCTGAAACAGACGAGAACACCAATACTAATCTTGAAAGGAAATACATACCTTCAGTAGTATTATGAAGTCACTACTTGTGAAATCAAAGTACCAACAACAGTCTTACCAGACTTATCCAAGATGGCATCGATTTCTTCCACCACATCAAAGTAAGCCTCATTATTGGTATATTTCACACCTGCTCTTCTCCATGGGATAGTGGAGAGCTGACCAGTAGGGAGTGTTTCGCCAACATTACTACTGCCTGAGGATTATGAATCAGTTCGATTCTCAACATCACATAGCCATGAAGAAAATACTCAGGAATGAGGTGTTTTACCTGTGATGGTGTTGACCATCGACCGCAGGATTGTGGGAGGTCTGATGAGTTCTTTCAAGATGTTGGATTCTGTAGCGAGGGGGAAGCCGTTATCCAACATTTCCTCCAAGAGCTCATAGACTATGACCACATTGTCCTTGATAGTGGTCTCAGAACATTCTCCAAAATAGTCCTACATAAATGATTGTAAAACACCATATTATTCAGCAGCACACATTCTATACAAGACATCTACAATAAAACATACACCAAGTTTGCTGAATAAAAACATTCATTTCTTAAATTCTTACTGAAACTTTTGACCGTGGTGTATGTTAGCATATATTTTCTACGCCACACCGTCAGTGGGTTATTGATACCTGAAATGTCTCTGCGACTCGATGCAGAAATTCTATTACAAAGAGTGGAGGCACTTCTGTTTGGATGACAGAAACAAAGAAGATCTTCTCACGGTAGATGTTTATGAGATAGTGATGAGGGGTGCGGATGACAGGAGGCACATTGTCAGGTTCCACTGCCTTCTCCCGTGCTTCGAAAAAATAATCGCAGATGGAGCGGCTTATGACACTCTTCCAGTGTTTCTCCAGGAATAAATCGCCAGCATTGCTAATCAGAAACACGCTGTGAATCATGATGAGGGCTGGAATTTCAACAGGATGAAAATGGGACAATGAGAATGGGAGTCACGATGCTACTACGTATGTTATTCCAGTGTTTGGAGAGAAACATGCCTAGAACATTCAAAGTTTTTTACTTTTTAACTCTGGTTATAAAAATATCATTTAAAAAAGGGTTGTCGGGATAGTACTTTAAATGAATAATCAAAATGAACTAGGAGAACTTTGAGGCAAGCTCACCCACAAATTAACTTAATGTTCACATTCATTTTTTTTTAAAGCCATGTCTTTGTAATCTGCTTTAAAGTCACTATCCAAATTAAATCCTCTGTATAAGAAATAAAGCAATATTCTAATTACTTACAGTAATTAGGATAGTGGCTTTAAAAGAGATTACACATTTATCCCTACTTGATCAGTTTATCCCCATATAATCAATTAAAAAATAAAAATAAATAACAATATAGTGACCAGGGGTTAGATCTAAATGCTGTTCATTGTGCACTTTATAAAGCTACATTTCAGGTGCTGAGCTCTGTGCAAACAACTGTATTATCCTATAACAGTAAATTAAAACTTCACAACCTAAATTTCTTTCAAATCTATCCCAACTGGTCGCAAACAAACTTGTAACATATATATTACTATAATTTCAAAGGCAATGCAGGACAGGGTGATAGCTAATTAAATCATTAATCCCTCAGAAAATACTAAAAGCAAAAGCAGAAAAGTTATGTTTCCTGGAGGAAGAGTTACAGGATATCCTGCGTCTACCGATTATTTGAGACAATAATATTCAGTCGAACAAATACAGACAGTCGGTTGTTCATAACTACACATATCTAAACGTATTTCTAAATACATTTTACCTGTAGACAGCTGTCTTGCTTAATGTTTTCAGGCAGTATCCCCGCTTGCAAATGTGGCAGATGTTCATGCGTTCGAATCTAAGCCTGTCGCGAATTTATGTTAAAGTAGATTTAAAACACAAACACTCACTCCTTGTGAAAAAAGCTTAAGATCAAAGACGTTCAACGATACCTCTACAAAGCATATGTTTATTTAAGTTTATATTACCTTGGAAATGTACTTTTTGTTCTGGCAATACACAGGGGCAGCTATGTGTCTGTGGTAGATTTTACTCTCCACGGCTAGAATCATTTCCCCGAGTCGGTTCTTTTGAACAACTCTTTTCAAAGAACAATCAAATGAACAGATTCACTATTAATATTATCACGTGGCCCCTGGCCTGTAAGATTAAAGTTTACTGAGGATTGATTAAAGTTTATTAAAATGGGGGGTTATTTACAAAGCCATACAATTGCAGTAGGTTATTTGTAGCAATTTTGCTATTTGGCTGTTAAAGTAACTTTCACCCTGTTAGTCAAATCTTCGGTTCACTCGCGTTATTTACTGACTCACTGAACAGAGAATCGAATGCTTTTATTAGCAGCTCATTCATCGGTTCTCGACTCATTACGAAACGGATAAATTCGAGAGAGATGATTCTCAGTTCAAATGGGTCTGTGAGAACAGCTCGGACCGTTTCAGTCCGGTTCGTGAAGGAATAGTTCCGAACGGTTTTGTGAATCGATTCAGTGAAAAGATTCGGTTCAAAAGAACTATCCGCCAACCGCGCCTCCAGATGCTTCATTCGCTCGACAAGGTGCCTGGAAAATATTTGATTGAGCACTATCACGCTACAGCATGGCGTGCGATGAACCTAAAGCCAAAAGGATTAAACTCGAGGAAAAAAAGCTCAGGTACAGCAAACACAAGCATCGGTTGAACAGCGTAGAATGACAGAGTCAAAACGTGTTTGGTATTTTATTGAACACTGGGCGGTTTGTTTGCGAGCACTTTTGGGTCAGAGGTCTAGTCTGCGTGTCACTTAAAGTCCATGTGCTGTCAATTCAGTGCTTTCTCTTAAAACCACATCGTCGTTGCATTGGGCAGGAATGTATCGGGCATTTTCCCATTATAGAGCAATGCCGATGAATCAGTTCGGTTTTGCTGCAAAGCATAAACCGCAAACTCGTGATCATGGGACATTTTTATGAGTGAACAATATCCAAAGCGTTCCACAATCCCTTTAATTATTCATAGTCGAGTGTTGTTCGTGTTGTTGTGTATGTATGATGAATACTTTTGTCCAAACCGTCCTTAAGTGTTTTATATCGACCACTGGCATGCGTCCCTCCGGCTCCACGTGTCTTTTGTTATGCAGTCGGGCTCTGCTGCAAAAAAGTCTTCCTGCTGTACACTGTTACAACAATAAGGAACACGCATGCATGCATTTAAAAAAAATGCTTGGACACACAATATAGTTGTTCGTTTAGTTTATGCTCAATGCACAAATGTTGGTTGCAAGTTGTGTAACGTTAGGTCACTTTCCTGCGGGGATTTCTGTCCCAACCCTATTGACACCCGTCTTTCCAGATATGCGGTGGCTTTAACAGCGCTGTCATTACGAAATATCAGCTATGACTAATGTACCGTAGTTATTTGGCTAATGGCTATTGAGAATAGATGATACTAGTGTGTATGTATGTATGTATGTATGTAACGTTACTAGTGTCATGTAAGAAAACGGTTAGGTCACTGCTGGATATTGCTCATTATTGTTTGTACTTGCATATTGGGTGTCAAATGCAATATTTATGTGTAAAATGTACAATTATGTTTAATTATCACATTTGGCGCCACAATGCAGCTGGAGGGCAGGAAGTGATTTCTCTCTCCATAGGAATCACTAGCAGAAACTCAAAATGCCAGTGTTTTGCGTTGTTTATGGATGCTTAAATTGGCCAAACCGAGAAACCACAAGGAGCTTTTATCGTGTACGAAAATGTGTTGTTCATAAGTGGGAAAAAGTCAAGAAATTGATTGAAAAACGCAGGAAAAAGTGGCTTGTAAACCTGTGTCTGCGGTCGGGAGGAGCGGAGCTCGTGTGATAATGCTCGTGCGTGCAGATGGTTATTATAGGATATAATAATATATTAAGATATTTATAAAGATATAAATAGATTAGGCTGCCACCTCACGCACGCATTGTGACAGTCAGAATTCACTCAGTGCTAAACGCCACACAGACACGGTGTAAATAAGATATTATTTGCAGTTCAGAGAGCTTCACTGATTATAACGGAACATCGTGAGATTGCGATCAATTGAAGTGAGTGACAGCTTTTTAGTGATCACACGAGCATTATCCGGCTTCGCTCCTCCCGACCGCAGACGCAGGTTTACAAGCCACTTTTCCCAGAGTTTTTCAGTCAAATTCTTGAATTTTTGTACACGATAAAAACTCCTTGTGGTTTCTCGGTTTGTCCGATTTGAGCATCCATAAACAGCGCAAAACACAGGCATTTTGAGTTTCTGCCAGTGATTTCTATGGAGAAAAATCACTTCCTGCCCTCCAGCTGCATTTCGCGCGTCATCAGAATCACGTGATTGCAAACAACCTATTGACCTATATGTAAGCCCCTCCCCTCCAACGCAGATGAGCCAATGGCAGTCGAGTATCAGTTGCACGGGGAGCGAAACTTTGGACATCTTTAGGTTTCAGCACATTGGAAGATCCGAAGAGCTCATTGGTTTGATGGTGTTTATGCTACAAAAATGGAACAACGATGTGCTTGTGGTACTTGTAACACTGATTCCAGGTATCCTGAGAGGATGGGCAATAGATTTTATTTTATTACATTTTCTAAACCCACACAAAACAAAATGTAAAATGTCCCTAAGCATTCAACCCCAATCCCAATGAAGACAAAAACGTTAATTTTCTGGTTGTCATACACTCAATAAGTTACAATTTTCATCTGCTCAAGCAGAACATTAATGCCATCATGTGCTTCAGCAAAGTATCTCTGGCTAAAACTAGCTAACGTTAAAGTTATTGAGTCCATGCTATTACAAACCTAAATAGCTAACTGTTCTCACACTTCATGTACAGTGTAACGTTAGGTCAAAATCACATAAACAAAGATCTTCAGTGCCTCCATATTAAAGGGTTAGTTCACCCAAAAATGAAAATTCTGTCATTATTTTCTCACCCTCGTGTTGTTCCAAAGCCGTAAGACCTCCGTTCATCTTTGGAACACAATTTAAGATATTTTTGATGAAATCTGAGGGCTCTCTGACCCTCCCATAGACAGCAAGGTAACTACCACGTTCAAGGTCCAGAAAAGAAACAAAAGAAAAGTAACGACTTTATTCCACATTTTCGTCTCTACTGCGTCACTTGTGGACGCGCGTTCACGACAGTATCATGACGCGAGCGTGTGGCGGCGTCATGATACGCAGTAGAGACGAAAATGTGGAATAAAGTCGTTATTTTTCTTTTCTTTGCGCAAAAAATTTATTCTTGTAGCTTCGTAACTTTACAGTTGAACCACTGATGTCACACGGACTACTTTGTCGATCATCTTGGTACTTTTCTGGACCTTGAACATGGTAGTTACCTTGCTGTCTATGGGAGGGTCAGAGAGCCCTCAGATTTCATCAAAAATATTAGGGCTGCACGATTAACACTGACGAGCTGCGCCAAACCACGTTCATATTCGCGCGATTTTTAGCGCAGCTCCTCAGTGAACAACGGCTCTGTGTAGTTAATGCTGCTCAATGTGAAAGCACGCAGGTGATGGAGATTTACCGCTGATTACAGAACCGGCTTTCTGACAAGATGCGCGTTAAATATCGCATGCGATTAATCGTGCAGCCCTAAAAAATATCTTAAATTGTGTTCCGAAGGTCTTGCGGGTTTCGAACAACACGAGGGTGAGTAATTAATGACAGAATTTTCATTTTTGGGTGAACTAACCCTTTAAACTGGTTAAATGTACATTAATTTAATCGTACCCTGCAATACATGAACAGTGTTGATCCGGTGTTGTGTCCAATTCTAACCCTCGCCAGATTACTACCCCCCTAGTATTGGTAGGTTTAGGGTTAGGTGTGGGGGAGGGGTTAGGATTAGGCAATCAGGTAGCGATTTCAACGAGAGGGGGTAATAATTTGGCAGGGGTCGAAAATGGGCACAACATCGGGATGTTGTCATCAGCGATCATGATGACCGTAGAGACTTCTCCTGCTTGCATTGTGATCTGTAAACCCTCCCTTCGAGCAAAGACTATAGAATATCCTTAAAGGGACTTTGCTTCGAGTTACCCACCGTATTTATTTTAAAATATTTTATATATCCCTCCATGGAATATTTAACTCCCACTTGAATGGTGGCCCTTTTGTGTTCAAAATTGTGCAAAAACATCGTGGGACAAGGTTTTCACACTAACAGCTGTCATTATAAGAGAGTGAGCAGCTCTGTTTGTTTGTCCGAGGGAGCAAAAGTAACTAAGGGGGCGGGGCTAAACAGTAAACGCCCCTCCTGTTAGTCAACCAATCTGTCTACTTTTGAGTACTAACATTGCAGACCGCTGTCAGTAAACTCCAGAGAGCATCACCTCAAGCCATCCTCATGCCTACAGCCAGGTAGGGCTAAACTGAATAGTCAGACACCTATTCAACTATTTAAGGAATTTTATAAGTTTTATAATTTTGGCACTCCACAATGTAAAGAGAAACAGTTTTTCTAACTCAAATAGCATGTCGTTTTAAGAGAATTTGGTGATGTTTTGGATAATGGAAGCTCACAAGATGTGATGCTGCTATATTGTTTTCTGGATAGTTTGCTTATTTACCATGTTTCTGAGATGGCTGTTTTTTTTTTTACTTTTAGTTGTACAGAAATAGTTTTAGTCACTACAGAAATGATATTTATATATTTCTTTATGCATTGAACAGCATCCCCTAAACATCTGTTTTAGAGCACCACAAGCTTCACAAACTCCCACACTGACACATCTGTGCTTATTCACACGTTTCTCATAACTTACACTAAACAATTGTCTTTCTTTGAATGTAGGAGTGCAAATGATCATTTAGACAAATTTAGTTGCCTGCTTTGTGTTTCATTCCTTGTCGTTTTTGGAAGTGCGGCCTTATTTGTTTACATTAATAATAGAGAATAATATATTATGGAAAAACATGCAGACTTTTATCATTACTCTTTGCAAAATGAGTAATTTTAT